CTAGACCGATCCCCACAGCATATTATCCCCTGCGCTTTAGCACGCTAAGGACCACTGACATGATCACGTTTAATGCAGGTTCCATAGACCTACATTAAACATGAGGACTTCAAGGGAGATTCCACCTGCCAGGATGGAGGGGGAGAAGAGGAGAATGCTGACCACCAGGGTAGCAAGAATCACGCTAAAGTGCTTATCTTCAGTTTCCTAAAAAGGAAGAGGGAAGCCCCACTGAAAGGGTAGTTTAAGGGTAGGCTTTAAGTACAAGGTTAAACAGGCAGAATGTCTCATTCTAAAAACCCAGTAAACATGGTCTTAATAGGATCATTGAAATTTGTGCATAATTTCTTCCTTTCTACATTGAAAAACTTTACCAGCAGCAACAAGTACTATATTTTAAAACAGTTTAAACATTTTAATTGGCTCACTGTGCATATTACTCATCGCTCTTGTAACATTTTTCCATATTTTTTTTACCATTGTACAATTCCAGCAGACAGACCATTCTGATATGCTTTACCCATTGCTTATTACGTGTCCAGCACTTGGCAACATAAACAGTTCTTTGTCTACCATAACCCCCTTTTAATAACAAAGATTAACATGGAAAAAGAGCTGTGGTTATCTTCATCCAAAAAGCAGCATATGTTGTAACAAAAGACTTGTCAGAAACTTGTTACAAGCAGCTCCTCCTCAGTAGCCTGCTCCAGACAAAGATAAGGCAAGTGTAATGTGATGTCTCAACTCTGTCTTCCCCAAACACCATATGCTGATAAGCAGATGGGGGGCCTAAACTCCTTTAGCTGTCGCGGTGGGGGTCTGGCAGCTCTTATTAAGGATCTTTTTGTTCTTTAAGGCTCCAAAGTCATTCTTAAAGACTGTAGTATTGCAGTATCTATGTATCGGGAAATATCTTTTATCCTAAAACAAGTGCCCCAGACATTACTAATTGTGGATTTATTTTATTTATGTGTTTGTGTGTGCACATATACATGGGAAAGGGAGGTATTTCAGTTCATAATGAAGGAAACAAATGGAAATGAATAGCTATGATTGCTGCTTTTTCTACATCCAAATGACCGGTTCACACACAATAACCTGAAACACAATAATTTAAATAATAAATAAATAAATATATATCTATATATAGATATATCTATCTATATATAGGTATATATATATATATATATTTTACCTTTTAGTTGACCCTATAGTGCAGGCCTTTGGACAGGTTGCAAACTTCCCTCTACAACTTCCAAGTGACAGGAAACTCTGGCAGTCCCCATAGAAATACTAGGGACATTATGAGTTTCCTCTTATTACTATACAATGCTTCTAGATCAGTAACCTTTTTGTTAGGATAGACGGGGCTTAGTTTACTAAAGGCAAATTGACTGTTCACTTTGCAAGGCAATGTTTTACTTTGCAAAGGATATTTCCCTTATCTTGGTGAATGCAGTGAAAATTCACTTCACATGAAAAAAAAAAAAACTAATAAAGAAAAATGGCCCTTACACATCTCCCTCACAGTGACGTCACTGGTTGACAGGTGTCCCAGGTTGCTAAGAGCCAGGTGGGAAAATATGTATGGGAGAAGGGTGGGGAGAGAAAGAAAGGTCAGCTGTCTCTATGGGTCAGCAAACTTTGGCTGACCCAAGGAGCGGCACCCCCTTCAGGTAGCACTGAGGGCTGGTGCCATACTCTGAATACACCACTGCAAATAGGTTGGTCACTTTGCAAGGAAGTTTTCCCTTAGCTTACTGAATACGGTGAAGCTGATGTCCATCATTGAATCTTAGCAGCCAGAGTGGGCGGGGAGTTGTGTATCAGGGCAGGACGCCGGCCAAAGCGTCCCAGGTTGCTAAGAACCAGGTGGGGAGATGTGTAAGACTCTTATGTATCTCCTGCCCAGCTCTTAGGATGGGATGCTCTGGCCGGTGTCCCACCCAGATGGGACGCAATTTATTGGAGATACGCCTCTGCCTATTTGCCTTTAGTAAGTCAACCCCGTGTGTCCAAATCTAGATTACAACTGATAATGAGAACTGGTAGCACAATACAGACAGGGTTGTTTATGGTAAACATTAACCTCCCCATCTCCCTTGAATTCCAGAGAAAAATAAAGTTGAGAGACACACTTTTCTTCTGGAATTGTTTTTTTAATGCTGTGTGAATGAGAACATGTAATATAAAATAGCCGGTATTATATTTGGCTGCAAAAGTGGAAGTACAGTTTAAAACTAGCCACTTATCCAATCTGTTTCTGCTCACCTGTGACCAATGCACATTGCTAGAGTTACCAGCTATGTGTAAGCTATTTTACTCTCGTTCTTAATCCTGATGTTTTTGGTGTTGCTTGGGGAATATTTATATAGGTATGTAATCAGAACTCTTTAGACCACACAAGTCAAGTGGCTTAGATCTTCTCAGACCTGTCAGCATTTATTCAACTGACATCCCAGTTGGAAACTTAAGTTAGCATTAGGTTGTTTATTAGTGTTAGTAGACCACTTATGGCCTGCTAAATGGAATGATTATTAGCGGGGTTATTCACAGAAGTGTGAGGAGTTTGCAGAAGGCAGGAGAAGTGAACAATCTAGGAGAATATATTTGAACTTTAAAGTGAGCTGAATTGGACAATTTTTCCAAATCAGCTATTTTGGCCTAGATTATTCACTTCTCCTTCCTTCTCCAAACTCTTCACCCTTTTGTGAATAAGTGTTTTTTCTTGTTCCATACTGTAGAGATCTTTATAGATGCCAGAAGAAGGGGGTTTGATGTTTTTATTGGAGAATGATTGCCAATTAACCCTTGACACTAAATGGTCTCACTAACAACCTGTAGTACTTGGTTCCTTACTGGAAATCTATAGGCAAAAAATGGAAGTAATTTACAGAGCAAAACATAAAGGTGTGATTGTTCATTTGTGTATTTAACATGCTTTCAGTTTGTTTTTTATTATTTCAGAGTGTAAAACTTTTTCCTATTGTAGAAATTATAGGTAGCTGCTGCATTACCACCATGCATTGTTTTGTAGCTTAAGGCTAAATCATTTTTTCATGCTCCTCAATTCTATGATGGATGCTGTTTGTAAAAATATATTGATAAGCCTATCTACCATGTATAGTCAGTGATGTGTGTATTCCCCCTTGAGTGTGGGTGGTTAGTGTTGTGCATGCCCCCTTAAAGTGGCCCTGTTACTTCTGAAAAAAATAAATACAACCTGTAAACAGTAAATACTTACCTGCCAATGATCTCTGCTTTACTGCCTAAAGAAATTTTTTTTAGTCTCGGTGACAATGGCCCCCACGAAAATAAGCAGGGCAAATCTCCCCAGTGGGGACACAAACAGCAATAAAAACTTGACAGAGGGTGTAACCATTCCCCACTCTATCCAAAAGTAAAAAAAAGAAACGTTTTGCCTTTACATCCACTTTAAGGGTAATTCTAGATGGATCATTTACTATTCTGCTATGGATATGTAAATTTTACTTTACTACTTTAATTGTGATGTAATGGTATACGTCATGTCTTTATTATAAATACTTTTAGCCATACTAAAAACAATGGTTAAGTAGAATGCACTTATGAATGGAATAGACAAAAGAATTACACATCGATTCCTATTTCAAAACATTTCGGTTGTTGTTGAGATGTTGATTTATACATAGTAGATTGTTGGAGATGGAATGAAATGTCAGTTTGTTTATCTGAAATCAGAAAATAAAATAGAATAGGACTATAATGGATTCTATGTAACACCTAGGAAATAGGACGTCCATGCAAATGGTGTCAATTTGTCTTCTGGGATTAGTCATGATTGACAAAACCTGAATTGGTGACTTGTGCTCACTTGACAAACTATGGCTGCATTTGTACACCAGACAATTCAACAGCCTTTGCTACTAATCTTTTTCCATGTTAGTTTCTCAGAATCAGTTGATCTCCTTTTCTGCCACACAAGATGATGTATCTTGCACTAAATATCACAATATTCTTGGCTGTCATTGAATTGAATTGCCCTCTGTGAACATACGGTACTTTATTGGGCAAAAAACTGTTCAGTAACGTGTAACACTAGATTTCACAAATCTAGGAACTTTAACTGTAAATATTAGCCCGTGATTTTATTTTTTTACTTGTGATTAAACCTAATGCTTCGCATTAAACTAGATTTTTGTTTACTAAAATAATTTAAGTAAAAATAACATTAAAATGAATAAAAAACTGATTTGCTTCCCTTTAATCTCAATGTTTCTTCAGAAAGCTTGTGTAAGACAGAATGCATCCTGTGCATTTATTTTGCATGTCACAAAACCAGGCATGTATTCAATAAAGAATACATCTCAGGATTTTAAATAAAGAGTGATGATGGAAGCACATTGGCATAGCCACAGGAAAGTGTTGACGATACATGGTCAGTACAGTGTGCTACCAGGCACATACAGCTTTAATATTGCATAGAGTATTTCAGAATTGGTGTATACAGTATACAAGGGTTTTGTTATCAGCTCTGCTTTTCAGAATCTTAAGAACCCTGGCGTGCAGTATATATACTGTAGCTAAAACCCTTTCATTTAGGGCCCATTCACACCATGTCTGGATCATCTCCAGACCAGACCAGGTTGTTTCCGGACCCAAAATACATCCTAATGTATCCTTATGCTATTTCTGGCCTCTGTTCACACCAGCGCAGTCCGTTCCAGACCAGACCAGAAAAATACTGCTTGTCCTAGTTTGTTTGGTCTGGAATGCAATGGAACGCATCAAAACGCATGGAATGCACTGGAACACACCTGTAAGACAATTTTAAGCTAAAAAAACAAATTCCAAACACAGCAAAATTAGAGAGGAACTAATAATGTGTGTGTAAGATACTATTCATACAGGCAAATCCTCTGATCAAGTAAAATATAATATTTTTTTGAATTAAAACTGACCAAACAACTAACATTTATTTTGTGGGTTTGTTTACATATCCTGTTTTTTTTTTTTTGCAGGACCCTTCTATCACTTCTGGCATACATGATAAGTTGCAAGTACCAAACACCATCCGAAAGTCCTGGAATGAGAGAGACAACCGCTGTGACATATGTGCCACTCATCTAAACCAGCTGAAACAGGAAGCTATCCAGATGGTGACAACCCTAGAACAGTCTGCTAATGTTGAACACTATGATGCTGCTTCACCTGGATCTCCTTCGGGACATTCTAATATTCCAGCTCTTGTGGGCCCAAGACACATGGGGAGTCTTCAGCCAAGAGACTGGGTTTATATGCCAAACGCTTACACCACACCCAATTACCCCGGATTTGTGGCTAGCAAGCACAGCGGAAAACCTAATAGTCTTGGGATTGCCAATGGCCAAGATAAAAAGAATGGGTCCCCTTCACATCAAGCCAAAGTCAGCCTTCAGATGGCCACGAGCCCAAACAACGGCAACATCTTAAATTCAGTAGCCATGCAAGCTCATCAGTATCTCGATGGTTCTTGGTCTTTGTCAAGAACTAATGGTGTGACCCTCTACCCTTACCAAGTAGGTATTCTTGTATGCTCTTATGTTATCATTTTTACATGTTTTTTAATGTATTTTTCTTACAGGACACATTTGCTATAATGGTGTTTTCACTGTAAAATAGAGACCTTTAAACTTCCTTACCAAATGCTGATAGAAGCTGCCAATTAGCTGAACATAATTTTTATGGCTGCCCTCTGTGTCAGTACTTTTCACTCACATCAGAAGGAAATCCTGGTACATGACCAATTGTTGTGCTCTTTTTACTGTCCTTCTAGGGTCTTGGAGATACTGTAGTTTAATGACACGGTACAATTATCAATGAGGGTTTATGACTGCAGTTATACAAAGAAGAATTTCTGTCATGTCCAAATTTAGCTCTCGGGACAGCAGCAAGGTATATCGCTGTTTGTGTAATCTAGAATCTTTCAAACATTAAAAGTTACATAAAACACACTCCTTTTATATTTTGATACTTCAGAAGTGAGATTTATGTCATATAACTTGACACTCCATATTGCACTTCATTATATAAAATAAATAAAACAAAATCAAACAGTGGGAGTGATAATTCCCAGTAATAACCAAAGCAAGTTCAAAGATCCAGGATCACAAGCACAAAGATTTCACCAACAGAGGAATTGACAGTAAAACAGAAATTGTCAAGTTTAAATCTCCAGCATCTGCCAAAACTGAAATATTGACCTTGCGTGGACTGACACTTTACTATCTAAATTGTTAATCTATCAAGTTCTGGTGAGAGAAACCATTGGTAGCATCATACATTTAATAATAATTATTTGGGGGTTTTTTTTGGTGCTTTGTGCTGCATCAGTGACAGGTGTAGTATTGCTGCCTCTTTTTTTCCACTGATGATTCTGGCTAGACTGAATGGCACCTGGTGTGGGCATCCCCTGGTTCTGAAACATGTGCTCTCCAGTCATCCCAGACCTGTAAGAAATGGTTCAGTGCCCTGTAGGTTAACCCTTTTCATAGGATTTCTTTCTTGCCAGTGACCTGTTCCTAAAGCACTAAAACATTCATTTTGTTAACCAGTTGCCGTCCGCCCGTAGTAGAAAAACGGACGGACGGCACTGTCGCATTCGCGGGTTGCCGTCGCCAGACGGCATTTTTTTTCTGCTCGCGCGCGCCCCCTAGCCGGCACGCACGGGCAGAAAAGACCCGTCCAATGCGAACACCCGGTACCGGGTGTTTCACATATAGGCGATCAGCGGGTCCATAGCCCGCCGATCGCC